TTTTTTTTTTTTTTTCTTTTTTTCTCATGAGGTAGGCAGGAAGAAGAGGGAATCTAACTGAAATTCTGCTGGGCAAGTTTGAATAAGCATGTCTGTAGTTTGCTACAACTTACTAAGAGCTGTAAGACAGCTCCTCTGTGGTCAGAATCTGATAAAGAAAAAGGGCGTGCTGCAGACCATGCATAGTTTTCCTCTGAGGCACAGCATTTGTCCTGTACTTCTGGATCTCTGTGCTCCCTCTGCCAGGGCTGAGAAGGGGGTGGCTGACTTCTCAGGGTGCCCTGACCACTCTTAACAGAAGCCTTTCCCATCCTCCTCAGACACGCTGACCCTACTTCCTGTCCTGCTGTAAGTGGCTCTAAACATCCAGGCTGTTCCTTTAGCCCTGGTCACGGGTAGCTGCGTGATCTCGCTCCTTGTGATACTGACACGTGACGGATGCCCTTCTGTTATCGTCCTTTCTCATCTTGCTTTCCTAGGAAGCTGGCAGTCAGTCTCCTTTACCTTTTGTCCAGGTTGGTTATCCCAGCTGTTTCCTGCCTGCTGCTGAGCAGACTGAGTCCCCACGTCACACACAGACAGCACCTGGCACCCCGCAGTTCCTGGGAGCATAGCTATGAGCTGTGGGCTTGGTAAATTATGCCTTTGAGCAGCTCATTCTCTTCCCAGAGGGAGAGCTCCTCCGGATGGCAGCTGAGCCCAGGTTTGTTTGCTCAGCACCCAGCCTCCTCCCCTGCAGAGGACAGCCTTTTGTGCATCTGGCCTGTGACAAGGCCATGGAAGACAAAGAGCTGGTTCCTTACTGAGAAGATGGCTTTTTGTAAGAGAATGGTGTCATACCGTGAAGTTTCAGTAGATCCATTCGGGCAAGTATATGCCAGGTATTGTTATGAGGTTCAACAGGAAAGCCAGAGATAGTTAAATGTGAGTCTTTAAATAAATTCAATTGTGACTCTACATGTAAAGGTTTTGTGAGACTGGGTTGAGCCCCTGCTGGGCCCAGTGGCTTCCTTAGAGACACCTGTACAGGTCGGGGAAGAGAAAAGCATGCACAGTGGGACATATGCTGCTGGACTTCACCCAGGGCATTTCCAGATCACTTATCTTGAGATGAGGTAG